GTGGGAGCAATGCTGGGCCAGCGTGGGAATCAGCTGTAATATTTTGTAAGACGCCGCTATGTGCCTCAGTTTCCCCAATGGGTTGCACTGTGGGATGGGCACCTGTCTGTCTAGCAGTCTGGGTCAATGACTCCCCCACGCCTGATCTCTGTATATGAGAGTTTGAAGGGTGTTAACAATGCCAGCCATTTCACCGAGCTCAGGGTTCATGCTGGGTTGGGGAGGTGAATCTACAAACAGATTCCCTAGAGTGGGACAAACATCCTGTTCATTTCCCCAAACTCCCACTGCAGCTCTCCAGTCGCTCCTCCTCCACCCCCAGCTCCTGTCCCCAATGGCCCGGCTGCTAACGAGGCCCAGAGGGGCATGGAACAAATGCCGGTAATTAATACGCTAGGGATGGATGAAAGAGAGTAGCAGGGGTGTATCCCAGGGGAGGGTCATGCTGCCTTCCTGTCTCTGTCTGCTCCCACCACACTCATGCCTGGCGCTTTAACTTTCCCCTGTTCCCTTAGGCCAACATGTCTTGGCCAAAAGTCCTTGGAACAAGCCAACTTGACCCTAAGACCTAACAAACTCACTGCACCACGTCTGGTAGGATGTTCCTATAAGGACATGTGAGACTGTGACCAAGTGGAGGCTTTCATAATGGGTTTCATAGGACGCCCAAGCGTGCCTTAGTTTCCCCTTTTCTACCCAGTGTGTGTGTGGGAGACAGGACTGAGTTTGCTTTTTGGACAGGTGGCAGGCCAGCAGGGTGCCCTCATGTCAGAGAGAAGATGAGACCCATGACAGGGTCTGTCTACATGGCAGGATAGTGCAGGGTTAGTAGAAAGGGTGTGAGGAGACTCTAGCTTTATTATTTCAGAGCTTGAGAGTCTACACTCATTGGTCATCCCAGGAATTGTGGGATGCCGAATCCCAATAAGTGCTGCCGGCATCCACACTGTATCATACCCTCAAGCATCCAAGCAGTTTTAATCCAGTCAGAGTTGGATACAAAGAAATAGAAGGTACAAAACACAAACTGACGGATGTAAATGTCTCTCACTCATACATTTCTTCCTGCCAACCAATGGTCACTTACCAGGTGATTACATTGACACCTAGCTGAAGCATCCGTTTGTCTTTTGTCTCTCAGGAAACAGTTTGAGTTGTTCTTTCTAAATATAGAACATGACTCAGCAATGACTTAAAGTAGAATTCTATACAGGAGCTCATGGATAGCCCAATATTTCATTCATAGAAAACGAGAAGCAGAAAGCGTTCACATGACTTTTCCTTCCAGACACTCACTGGTCTAGATTTAAATGTAGAACATGACTCAGCAATGTCTTAAAGTAGAATATGATGTTACACGTTTTTTAAGAAGACTTTAATGTTCAGCAAATTATGAGTTTTTGAATGATATCGCACAGGGCAAACTTGGTATAACTATTGTCGTAATCTTGAAAAAGGGATGAAGGTAAGGGTCTACACTGTCACACTGAGTGTAATTTGTTGACAAAAAGTGGTTTTCTGCTTGTCTGTGAGTCCAGGGTTTTCCCTGCAGTATAGACATAGAGATAATAAATGGAGAGAATCCAACCTGGGCCAACAAGGCAAGTGGACCTGTGGTTTTCAGCCTGCGATTGGTGGACCCCTATTGGATGACAGACCATGTCTAGAATTTCCAAAGGGGGCTGCACCTCTATTTGAAATTTTGCAGGGGTCCGCAAATGAAAAAAGTTTGAAGAACCATTGGGCTAAACAGACAATGTCATCTCTGGTGATGCACAGATCAGCACTGACCAGGCCACACAGCCCCCACCACGGCTGGCCAGGCCTCTCCCATCCTGCTCCCCCAGGCCAACCCCATGGAGAAGCCAGCAGGTGGGCATACCTCCCTCCCCGGCCAGTTCTGGGGAGAAGCTGACAAGCAGGATGTATGTCCACCACCATCCTGGGCTGGCCCTAGTGAGAATATACCAGCCACCCCCTTCCCTGCTCTGAGCCCCCTACCCATGGTCTGACTCCTGCACTCTCATCCCCTGCCCTGAGCCCCTCCTCACCCCAATCTTGTTTCCTGCAACCTCCCCATATATTCCCAGCCTCCTTCGCTTAGACCCTCCTCAACCCCAACACTGATTCCTGTACCCCCACACTCCCAGTCTCCTTCCCTGACCTGCCACAGCCCCATCTCCCTGTCCTGGAGAATCTGACCAATAGCTGGTAAGTCTTCTAGTGGATTAATATTGACAGTCCTATCCTGGCTAACACCCATAACTGGATTTATCCCCCAGAAACGTCTCTTGCTCTGTTTCAAGCTGAGTTCTAGTCCTGAGTTCCACAACATCCCTTGGCAGTGAGTTCCACAGGTTAACTGCATTTCCTCACACTCAAAAGTGCTGGAACAAGGCATGTCACATCCAGCAGGTGCTACTCCTGGCTACCAATGATGACAAGTTTATGGCTGGCAGGTCAGTGTGTCTGGAAAGGCTCCATTCCCGCAGGAAAGGTCCTTGGTGAGGGGGCTTTCATGCACATTTGGCTCCTGGTTCTTGAGGACCCAGCAGGGTCCACACAAACCAGTCGTGCCACCTGACTGGGATAACATGGAAGGTTTCTAAGGGGGCCAGTGGGATGGGATGCATTATGGCCGGACGCTGAAGCCAGACAAAATCAGCCTGGAAACAAAGGCTGATTATATAACTAGGAGCGTAATTAGTGAGCGACACAATCTGCCAGCGGGTGCTGTGGATTCACCACGCCTGCCTTTTCTCAGCCGAAATGGGGTGCTTGTTTAAAAGAGTCGTGCTGGAAATGAAATGCAGGGAGAGCTCTAGTTTTGGCTCCCAGCCTTTCCAGACAACTGCATGCCTTTCAGGATGCTGATTTGTTTTGCCTCCCCGCCTATGTTTCTCCTCACTTCTCAAGGACTTGCTTAGGAAATCCCAAGGAACGATAGGAAGGCGTCACACTCGTTGTTATTGACGTTCTCCTTTGTATCAGATAATTATAAAATGAACCATTTGAAATGTGGCCGTTGCACTGACACATCTGTGCATAGTACGCAGAACAGCATAAACAAGCTCCTGTCAGTATGAAATGTCAGTCTGGACTGACTTCCCTAGTGCTCTTTGGTAAGAGGCGGCAAATATCTCATCTGGTGGAGAACTTCTGACTTGTGCAGGTGGAAATTTGTTGAGGGAAAGATGGGGTTTGCGGAGGAAGATCATGGACCAGTGTTGGTCATCAAAGATGTCTCATGAAGGATGTCTGAGTGCTTGTGTGTGAGTTGGAAGGAGGGTCTCTGGTGTAGAAATGGCCAGACTGGGTCAAAACAAACCCCCTTCCCATTCAGAATCCATCTCTGAGTTGAGCAAATGGCACAAGGTTTAAAAACCTGCAGAGGCAGGTGGGGATCAGCCCTACTCCTATTGACATTACTTCCTGACCATTAGTGTTTTCATAACACCCAGCATCCTGAGGTTTAATATCCCTCCCACAACCGTTTGTTTGTTTGTTTGAGTGATATTCCTCACAGCTTAGGAAATGTCCATTCCCTCTTTTCATTTTGATAAGTTTCAGCCTGGACACCATCGTGTGGCGATGAGTTCCCCAGTTCCTGAATGTGTGACTATGTCTTTGGTCAATATTTGAATTTAATGTCATGGGCTGTCTCCTTGTTGCTAGGCCAGGTGACAGGGAGGGCAGAATCCCTCAAGCTCTTTTCTCTGTCTCATTTTCATTGCATCATGGTCCCGCTTGCACTTTATACACCACTCAGCTCTCTATCCTCTCTGCACAGGAGACTTTTCTGGAGTCCGACACGTTCCTGAGCCCCTGCTCAGGCCACATTTCCCATGTGGCATTGTGGAGGGGCAGGGCTGCAGGCAGGATCCAGATGCAGAAAAAGTGCTCTGTGTGTGTTTCTAAACTCCTACCAAGTCCCCTCTTTGACGGCTTTTGGATGAACTGAGCAAACCAAGCCCCTCTGGTCTCTCAGGTAGGTTTTTCAGACGTCCTGCATCCCTGCTGTCACAGCCGCTGTGTCTAGCTGCCGTTTCCAGCCACTGGCTCAGGTTTTCCAGTCACTGACTCAGGTCCGACCGTTCTCTGCTAGGCCGAAGAACCGCTGTGCAATTTTGTTTCCCGCTTTGGTAGTACAGCTGACCCCATCCTGGGAGGAGTTGCAAGGTGTTTGGAGGACAGGATAAATGCACAGGATGGAAATTTGGTGCCACTTTGGCTAATTGGATGCTCAGTCTGAATACAACAAGGCAGAACTGAGAAAAAGAAAAGGTTGAAATACTTCACTTATGGTGGGAAAGTCCAGGATGTAGCTGCAAACTGGGAACTAACTGGGAAAGGTATAGCACAGTTGACAGGTGTCTGGGGGAATGGCTCAGGTTGACTGTGAGTGAAGCAGCTCTGACAATACTGTGCTCACAGGCTGGGGTGGGAATGATATGGAAAGGGAGTGTCCCGCTCTGCTTGGCGCTGATGAGCTCTCACATGGACCAGTGTGTCCAGACAAGCTATGGGCAAATGCGAGAGAGTCTGGGGAGAACGGACAAAAGGGAAAAGTTTAGAAATCCTGCTCTGGATGGTTAGAAAAATGGGGCAGGATTGTCCTAGACAAAAGAAGACAGAGGGGAACCTGCTAAGTGGCCTCTCGCACTCAAAAGGCTGCTGGCTGGCCAGAGCTAGGGTGTCAGTTTGGCAGGAAGACGAGCACCAAATCCAGTGTCTATGAGTCCCAGCGACCCACGGTCAGACCAGAGAGTCGCTGCACGTTTACACAGCGATGGTCTGTGCCCATGAGCAGAACGGAGCCAGGGTTGAATGGGTGTCTCCATTGTGGGACAGTTTAAATCGAGATCGAGCTATTAAACCGTTCCCCAAAGACGACCGAACAGGACTTGGCTCCCAACAAGCGACAGGCGGAATGTGTCAGCGCGTCACCTGACTGTCAACTCCCTTCTCTGCCCTGCTCAGGAGCTGCCTCGGCCCCCGCCATGGATGTGGGAAACTGGACGTCCGTCTCTGAGTTTGTGCTCCTGGGACTCTCCGAACAGCAGGACCTGCTGATCATCGTGGTGCTCCTGGTCACCTATTTAGTGAACCTGGCAGGCAACTCCCTGCTGCTGGGGCTGGTGGTGACTGACCCCGAGCTCTGCAGCCCCATGTATTTTCTCCTCAGCCACCTGGCAGTGGTGGACATGAGCTTCGCTTCCATCTCCCTGCCCCACTCCCTGGTACACGCCCTGACCCAGCACCGGGCCGTCTCCTTCACCAGCTGCATGGCCCAGCTCTTCATGTTCTTCTCTGTGGGCAACATGGAGAACTACCTGCTGGCTGCCATGGCCTACGACCGCTACGTGGCCGTCTGCGACCCGCTGCGCTACGCCGCCGTGGTGACACGGTCCCTGTGCCTCAAGATGGTGGCTGCTTCATGGGCCGTGGTGATTGCACACGCCCTGCTGCACACTGTCATGGCTGCCAATCTGCGCTACTGCAGCAATCGCCTGCAGCATTTCTTCTGTGACATACGGCCCCTCCTGCTCCTCTCCTGCGCCCGGCCTTGTGACATGCGGCCCCTCCTGCTCCTCTCTTGTGCCCGGCCCATCACCACTGAGATGGTGACCTACACTGTGGGTTTCTCGGTGTGGCTGAGCCCTTTCGCCTTCATCCTGGCCTCCTATGTCCGCATTGGGGTTGCTGTGGCCCGTCTGCGCTCTGCCCAAGGCTTGAGCAAGGCCCTCTCCACCTGCGGCTCCCACCTGACCATGGTGTTGCTCACATTCAGCATCGTGATGTGGCTCTATTTCCACTAAGACTCCAGCGACACTCAGGAGCATGACCAGCAAGTGACCTTCTTGGACAAAGTATTGGTGCCCACCCTAAACCCCATCATCTACTGTCTGAGGAACAAGGATGTGGCCGCGGCCCTGAGGAGGGCAGGGAGGAAGGTTCTGGCTTGGGGCATGTGAGTGGAGCTCCATCACTTCTCTGGGCCTGGACTTTCTACCCAAGATGTGTCTGTCCCCTTAGTTTCTCCTGGACATCTGGGTTCTTTTCCTCTCAGACGTGAGGCTCATGATGCTAACACATAGGTAGGGTCACGCCCATCTACAGACACACACACAAATACACACAGCCCAAATCTTTCCATGGAAAAGGAGATAAATTCAGACATGTTTTCAAGGGCATGGCCATGCAGGATCAGCCCCAAGGCCTCTTGTACAGATGTATAAATGTTCTTATTACAGATTGGCCCGAACACTCAACAATCTCAACATAAGAGCGTTTAGACTGCGTCAGTCCAATGGTCCATCCCTCCCAGGATCCTGTCCGCTGTAGGTGCCCAATACCAGGTGCCCCAGAGGGAATGAACAGAACAGAACAGGGAATCATCAAGGGATCCATCCTCTATTGCCTGTTTCCAGCTTCTGCCAAACAGGGGCTAGTGACACCATCCCTGCCCGTCCTGGCTAAGGACCATTGATGGATCTGTCCTCCATGAACATATCTAGTTTGTTTTTGAACCCTATAATGGTCATTTCACAGGCTGACCCTGCTTTGGGTGGAGAAACACTGCCTTCGGGTTCTTTTAAATGGGCTGCCTACTAATTTTTTTGGGTCACTCTTAGGGAATGTCTACACTACAAACGTTAGTTCGAATTAACTTTGATAGGCGCTACACAGGCAAACCCCTAGTTCGAACTTAATTCGAACTAGCGGAGCGCTTAATTCGAACTAGGTAAACCACATTCTATGAGGACTAACGCCTAGTTCGAATTAAGTAGTTCCAATTAAGGGCTGTGTAGCCACTTAATTCGAACTAGTGGGAGGCTAGCCCTCCCCACCTTTCCCTGGTGGCCACTCTGGGCACCACCAGGGAAACTCGTCTGCCCCCCTCCCGGCCCCAGAGCCCTTAAAG